TCAAATGAATGCTAAGGATAAGGCTTATTTTTGGGAATTGGCAAATATAGAACCTTATCCAACTAAAAACATAAATCACCAATTGCAAAGAATTACTAATTAAACAGTTAGGCGTGACGTGGAAAAGCCAACTGAGCATCCTGTTGGGATCCGATTCCCACAGCATTTGGGAAATCATTTCCGTATGCTGAGTGGCATTCATATTGCATGGCCCGCACTTTGCATTCGCAGGCGAACTTCTGCTGGTGTTATATTTCTGGCGGAAATTGGGAGCAGCAGTCGGTACGTGCCGTAAAAGCTGGCAACTTGCAGCAGTTTTTCACATTTGCCCCCCAGTTTGCAGAGCCGGGTTTATGGGGTCGTCGGAGCAGGCACGCAATTACGGGGGATTGGCATTACCAGGACTTCCCGGGATCAGCCAAACTAATATCCATTTCGGCTTGTCCCCTGTCCAAAACAAAACGCATTAAGGCGGAAGTGCATTTCGGGTTTATTTTGCAATTCGCAGAGACATGCACGTATTCATATTTACCTAAATAACTACTCAGTACTGAGGGATAGGCGAGGAGTGGGAGGGGGAGGAGGGTGCTTCTCCTGTTGTCCTTTTTATGATGGGCATACAAATGCTGAGCCAAAAGGATTTTACTTACAAACGAGCGAGCAGAGGAAAAAGTGCAGAAGAATCGCATTGTCCCTTTGCCAGGAAGAGAGCGCAGGACGAAGGACGAGCGAGACGGGTCATAAGCCAGGGCATAGACAAGCGCACAAGGATATGTAGTGGCATAAGGATTTGTTTTGCCCGGCTGCAGATGATGAGGATGATGATGAGCCTGCTCCTTTGCCTCAACTCAACTCAACTCATCTCAACTAAACTCAACCCAACTTATGTGCAGTCACGGTCTGTCTGCTTTGTTGTACTGAGCCGAGCCTGCCTCTGTCTCTGCCTCTGTCTCTTTCTCCTCGGCAGTTGCTGTCTCTTTCAGTGTCGCATCTTGTCTGGGACACGGGACATGGGGACATGGGACATGCATAAGTGGCTGCCTCACAAAACTTGTTATTTGTATTTACTTTTGATTGTTGCAGCTGCATTTTGTCTTCCTTTTTTTCACTGCAGACAAGTGTCAACATTAAAATTGCACTTCACTTTAGCTTTTATTCTACATCGCTACTCCCCAAAACAATTAAATGCCTCATCGCATCCCATTTTTTCCTTAACTATTTGGGGTCGGCTGCATTTTTCATGGGCCAACTGTCGGGTTTCTTTGCCCTTTATAATTTGCATTCGGGCTTTTCTTTATTTCTGCCAATTTTTCCCCGTTGACGTCACTCACTGCAAAATGAACTGTCAAGCGAGGAAATCGAAGGAACGAAACGAGGCTGTCACTGACTGAATGATGCTTTAATGGGCTCTTCCCATCTCATGTTGCAAGTACATGTGAAAAATGGGTTGTCGAGAAAAAATATTTATCGAAGTACTGTCAAAAGAATGCTGATCAAATGTATCCAATACGGATCAAGATGAAAGGGAGATTAAAGGTTAACAATGTCACAATCAAAACTTTTAAATTATATTTGAAAAAGATTTATTCTTTACTATTAATTTGGTATTATTATATACAAATATTCAAATTCCGCTTAAAAATACCTTAAAAGGCCTTTTTTTTTACTTTTTACTTTTTTATTTTTTTTTATCTGTAAAAATATACAAATCTTATGTAAATTCATTCAGAATTTATTTTCCTAGTGACTTATTTCTCACAAAATTATGGTCCTAAAAGTAGGAAAACTTCGAGTTCCCCAAAATTTTCCAACTTCTTGTGGACATAAATGTCTTTATTGACTGGCTCTTTTGCTTCATGGATTCCACTCCAGTAAACCGAAACCACTCAACCCAAGTGCATTGGCTGGCAGAGGCCAACACATGACGTCAGGAACAGGTCGGATTTTCCCTTGCCCATTTTCCGCACTTTCCCCGCTGCTTCCCTTGGCAGAAATAAAAGACCCCTGCTGCTCGTTGGCCAGTCACCCACAAATAGCATTTTGTGTCTATTTTAGTGTAATTTTCCACTTAAACGGTTTTTTCACTCGCAGGCTGCTGGAAATCCTTTGGAAATTCCCCTCCCAATGTCGGCAAGAAGTCATCTGCTTGTGCTGCGTCTGGCAGCCGCCGAAAAATGGCAAGTTGAAATGAAAATTATTGGTTACCCCGACTGGGAAAAATGGGTAACCGAAAGAGGACGAGGGGAAATATATGGACGGCTCCAAATTGAGTTTGAGCGGTTTTTCCAACACGCCCCGTAGTTTTTCACTCTTCTGCTATCGATTTCAATTGTGCTAAGGCAACTGTATCTCCCCCGATTTTCCTACCCCACTCTCTCCCCCTTTTGGCCAACTTCAAAGTGAGCAGCGTGCAATGAAATTGACACCCGCAGCGTCGACTCCATTGGAATGAAACTATGGATGGGCGAAAAATAAATGTGTAACGAAATGGAAGCATCTCGAATCGGCCCCCTTCACCATTTAACCCCTTTACCCCTCTGCCCTGGCAATAAAACCATTTTAATGAGATTCAAGCTTTAAATTTCGCGCTTTTTGTGCAAGGGGGGGAAAATGGGGAAAAGCGGCTGGCCACAAAGGGCATGACATAAAAGTGGGAAAAAGCGTAACTTTGATGGCTTAAAAAAATGGTGAACGATTTTTTGCTTCCCATTATTCATACAATCTTCAAAATGTGATATCTGTATATTCTAAATATAATAGTTCTGGAAAAAGAAATCAAATATTCATTAAGTTACAGGAACTCTTCACATAAATTAAAAGAAATATATATATGAAATCAAATGCATAAATCTTTTTTGATAAAACTTTGTCAATTTATTACTTTTATCTTTGTTACTTAAATGTAATATTTTAAGAGAGTATATATTTAAAGGTAGTGATTTTAAAACTAACGAAATAAATGACAAATGCAAAAATGTACTAGTCGTTTTTATTAATTATTTACAAAATAATTTTAAGAAAAATAGTAATAATTTAAATGTATTTAGCGATGTGCAAATAAAGTTATTTCTTATTTTGACTTTTAGTTACTTGTACATTGCAGTTTTTATTTGCCACCCCACAATTCACTGACCGAATATACCCGATGAAAGTACCGAAAATGGTCTGACTCAATTATGTAACTCAACGAAAATTTTAATTAAAAGCATGCAGATGATTTAATTGATTCCTGTGTACAACGCATACGCCGAGTGGCCCCCACTGACCAACCAACAACACCGACTAAGCAGCCCACTTAAATAGAGTTGGGTAAATATTTTAACAACTTTGTTACGGCGTTTTTATGAAAATTGGACACCAGCGAAAAACAGAAGGCGGCTGCGAAGATGGAGTCTCCGAGATGGACGTTTACACAGTTAATAATAAAAACCATTTACTATGCTAATATTTGAGCGACTTGCAGGTCAGCGGCGGAAGCGGAGATGGATGCTCTTGCCCATCTCAAGCCATTTTTCACGCATGGCGTAGGGGAATTTAGAATTTTGGACACGAGATGAAACATGAGCGAAGTCAAAAATCCAAGTTGAGTGCCGGGAAATGTGTTTGCGATGGGTTAAGTATGACTTACAGTATGCATATGCATTTCATGGCCCATCCTCCGACTTTTAGTTCAGACTCGTGTTTGCTTTGACTTTGAGCGAGGCAGCCATGAAAAATTAAAATGGGACTTCCAAGCGGCAGCTGAGCAGTAGTAACTTGAACAACTTTTTCCACTCGCTCGCCTGTCAGCATTTTCTTTTCGATTTTTCGCCGCCTGCGAGATGATGTATGTCGGACAAGTGCTTGAGTTCGAGTGGAATGTGGCGGTGGCGGTGCGGTGGTCCTGCTGCTGCAGGATGTGGGTTAGTCAGCCAAGCATGTGGCTTGCATTTAATTACGGGGATTTCCCCGGATCCCGGCCACAGACTGCCGGATAAGGGAGCTAATTGAGCTGCGAGCGAGTGAATTGCCTGGGCCAATATTCTGCGGTGAAAGCACTTTCTTTGGCCACTAGTTTGGGGCACATACATAATAAAGGGGTCGACAAGTCAGGGCTGCTGGCCTGGTTTTAGGGCAAGAACTTTAATTATTACTTAACGCTTTCTCCCCAGAGACCATAGAAAAGTAAAAAAGCTTCCTTTTCTAAGTCTAAAAAGCAAAACAAAATAATATTCATGAAATATTCACAGCTTTAATTGGTTTTACATTTGGAAGTATGATTCGATATGAATACTCGCTATTGGTCTAATTTCGAATGCATAACATATTTTATGCAGTTTAAATGCTGAATGATTGAAACACTACCAATTAATATGTATCGGATATACAGTTGTGTTCGAAATAATAGTATTTCAGATTTTTTAAATGCGTAAAATTTTCTTATGAAAAAAAGTTATTAAAATATTTTAGAAGATATTAAACATAGACTTTTTCTGTTTAGGTAAATATAAAGATATTGACACTCGTTCTTGAAAGCATTTAAGGTTTTTTTTAAGATGTTTGTCTTCCGATATGAAAAACTTTTTAAAATACAATTAGCCTTTAGAGCACCATTTAAGCATTGCCAAAATTAAATATTCATATCGTTTTCTAATTTAATTTTCGAAAATATAACTTGTGAGTAAAAACAGTTAAATTTAAATGAAAGCGGTCAGCTCCCAGACCGAATTCACCATTTATTATTTACAAGTAAAAACATAACACTGTTTTGTCAAATCCTTTGCTAATCCCATCTGCCCCACTCTTTCACTTAACTTTTTTTCCAAAACGAAAAACTTTCGTTGCACTCCCAACTCATCTGAAATTGCGATAGGTCAGGTTTTGGCAGCACCTGAAAAATGGAACAGCTTCCATTAAATTTTGCTGCTCGATTTGCCAGCCAAAGGTGACCAAGGACATCAATTTAACGCCCCCCACAGTAAAGTCTAAATAAAATGTAAAAAAAGAACGTCGGGGCTTACCTTGTGCAATAATAAAAATTCGTTGTACAAGGTAGTCTGCAACTCGTAAAAGTGTTGCCAATGTTGATGTGGCTGCTGCTGTTGTTTTCCTTGTTGTTGTTTTAGCATCAAATGCTTTGGCGAACTTTTGGCTTAGTTGTTGCTGGCGATTTGTTGTTTGAAGCTTTTGTATTAGCCATAGAACATAGTTGCTGACAGCGTTGTTGTTGTCGTTGATTACCGAGTGACTGAACCTGCTGCTGCTGCTGACGATGTTGATATTGCTGCCATGCTGTTGCTGTTGCTGTTGCTGATGCACTTGGTGTTGCTGTTGTTGCTGCCGTTGATATTGCTGGTGTTTCCGTTCATTGTTTGTGTTTCGGGAGATTGAGTTTTAAAACGTTTTGTGCTTATTGTTTTAGCCACTTGTCATGGAATGAATTTGAAAACTATTTTATTTGCTTGTCTCCGGCCTTTTTAGGCAATTGTAAACAATATCTGTTGTTTGTTTTCGTTTGTTTGCTCGCTTTCTGATGAATTGTTTATGGGCATTTGGCTAACGATAAGGGAGAACAATAAAAATTTAATTTTTAAAATATTTTTGTTTGTGCTTTTTCGGATTTCGCATTTGCTTTCCGCTGCTGATGATGATGGGAAATGGCAGCCCATATGCCAAAAGATTTATGACCATACAAAATGGCAAGCGGCTGTCTTGCCCCCAACATCCCAGCTCCCCTGTGGTCCATGAATTATGCAATGAAATTTATTTCATTTTTCCCTTTTGAGGGCGAGAGCACATGAGTTTTTTTTAGCACTGTCGAGGTCGTCGACAGACTTCTGTTATTGTTATAAATGAGGGAGAAATGATTCTTAAATTTATGAAAAAAGCATATTTCGTCATCTGCATCAAGGCTTCAAAGAGAGATTCTAGGAATGAAATAAAAAAAAAATAGTGCTCGAGGATACTTTGACACCTCGGTATTCTCTGAGTTTCTCCTTCCTGACCTGTTCCATTGTACCCTGTCGCCTGGCTTTCCTTCCACTTATTAGTCTGCGTTTTGCAAATATTTGCATACGAGGCACGTTTCAGACATTTTTCTTTGGTTCATTCCTTTTGTTATTATTATTACTCTTTGCTGCCACTCCGTTTTCCACGATTTTTCGTTTTTCTGTTCTCCGCGTGTAAATGCGAGATTTCTTTGCACCACATTAAGGAAAACACAGAAAATGGGTAAAAATATGTCGAAAGAAAAGTATTTAATTCAGTTAAGAAATTTTTAATGTATAAAATACAAAATTAACCAAGACAAGAAAGGAGTTACAGAAATTACATCAATATTAAGATAAGAAATGAAAGAAGGAAACAAGGATTGCTGGACTCTTAATGTGCGCCCTTTTAAAGTTTTGACATTGCCAGGGATGCCGAATTAAATATTCTTTTACGAAGTTAATTATATTTGAGAAAGCAGAAACAGACTCAGCACAAACATTCCTCCTACCTCTTGAACTTTGTTTAAGGAAAATAAGAACGAAATTTCCAAGCTCCGCAAAATATAATGTGATCGTGAAAAACACTTAAGAGCCCCAAAGTTGTGGTGTTAAACATGAACTTTGGATTGGATCCACTTGTTAAGCATCAAAACGCCCATGGAACTCGATGCTTGCTGCCCAATTTAAAAGTTGCCTTGACAAGGACACTCCACCGATTGATAGCCCGAACATCGCCGAGGAACTAATCCTTAAGGCGACCCCCATAATCCACTTAATCCGCCGAACCGAACACGTTGCTGCCTATCAGACAAACGATTTCCGAAACAGAAAAAGGGAGCCGCTGTAAGGACATTTGGCAGGCTTCCCCTCTTATCCTCCATTCCCTTTGACGACCCCTGATTGCTGCTGTATTTCGGGCCCTTCCACGGGCGCCACATCAATTTGTAATTTGTAAATGAAATTGCCCTTGCCTTGCTTCCCTTTTTTTTTTTGTCTTGCGCCCACCAGAAAATGCAAATTTGTCAAATTGATTTAAAGCCCCGATGTCGGCCAATTTAAATGCCAAAAATTAATTACACATGCATGCGCACACACGAGCCGGGGATTTTAGCCCTGTTTTTTTTTTGCTGTATTTATTTATTGTGTTTAAGCCGCCTTCACTTGACACTTTTGGGTGTTTCGAACTTTTGATCTTTCGGTAGGAACCGCTTGCCTGATGGATATCACCGCCCGATTGCCGAGATTTGCACTCGCACTCGTCCTCGTCGTCACTGGCACCTCACACATTCAGTTGGCAGCTCCGGCCCAAGTCAAGTATCCGCACCGTTGGCCCGCCGCTAAACGAACACCGCCGCGCTCCCGAGTGAACTGACTTAGCGCAACGAGCTGCGCCAGCAGGTGACCCGAACTGGGCCTCGGCAATCGCCCGAAGCTGGCTCTTATCAGAGCCGAAGGACAAACCGAGAGGGCAACGCAGTCGCACAAGAGAGAGCCGGCTTTCGTTGGTGTGTGGTGAGTTTCGGTTCACCAACTCACGCTGGTGAAAGGACCCATGTGCCGTGGTGAGCGTCGGCTCTTATCAGTTGTGCGTGGTGTAGTCGTAGTGGGGGACAGCTCTTATCGGCCTCCAGACTGCTGGTCCCGTGCCCCCAAGCTCCCGTGCTCCCACATCCAGATCCTTGCCTCGTCTGAATCTCGTCCTTCGGGCTGACGAATGTGAGCAGGCGTCTGGCAGGAATGTGCCAAAATGTCGAGCAAACAACGTCGCCAAGCTGGTTTTTGTTTGCCGCAAAACCGATGATAAGACCAAGTCACTTGCCAGTGCGGGGTCTTGATTTTCCATCAGAGTGCAGAATGATTTTCAGAAAGTCACTTTACTGTCTTCCAAGTTAACAGTCAAGGTACAGGACTTTTCTGAGGTTGAATTTGCAGATATTTTGATTTGTTTAAAACTTCTACAACAATATTTATATGGTTAATAACATAATTATTGAATTAAAAATATTTTACACTAAAACAGAAGTCTAACTCGTATTAAAATATGTTGCCTACAAAAAGAATGTAAAAATGTAAAAAGATCTTTTCACTCTTTATACGAAAAAAAAAACAGTTTAATAAGCAGTTAGCTCGGACTGTCTTTAAAATGTATTTAAAAGTTGCGTTTTAGGATATAAACTAAATTTACTAAGCCCGTTTTATAATTACAATTCTCTCGACCATTTGCTTAATTTACAATTCATTTAGTGAAAATCCAAATCCAAGCCGTCCCTTTCGACACCAACAACAGCTCGGCAGCCGCAACCAGTTACAATTTCCCCCTTAACTGCTCCATTTCGCAGGGATCCTGATGAAGAGCTTCAGCGTTGGGACAACGTGTTCGAGCCATGTTTTGTGCAGTCACAATGACCAGGCCGCAGCTCCTTGCACCGTTGGTTGTCACCTCGGAACATTTATTCCGACTTTCATGCGGCAACGGCAGTAGGAAACCCATCGCTTTAGCGCGATTTCCTCGCGGCAAAATCAATGCAGCGGCATGTCAGCCTGGTTTATTGGCTTCCATTTGGACGCTAAGCAGGCCAAACTAATTACCGTGCATAATAAATCAGATCGCTGTCATAGTCTGCCATTAGTTTGACACCACCCCACTGCCCACTGCCCACTGCCCACTGGGCACCGCGTCTTCTAGCATTTATGCAAATTGGCAACAATACCGCAGCCCGGGGCGAAGTATCGGACCTGCCTCGCTGCCTTCTGCATTATTAATTGCAATTTGTTTGCTATTTATTCCAAGAAAAGTGCACCAGTTTTAACCTAATAATAGTCAAGCACATGGCTCTCCCATGACCACGCTGAAAATCGAGTTTATTTATGCAAAATTAATTGATTTCTATTGAAAGCGAAGGGGCATCGGCTAGTGCAGTTGACACAATTTTCTTGGAACATAATTGGGGGGTAATTTATAATCATGGCACAATTGAAAGCTTTTGAAATAAAAGCCACGTTGCGTGACTTCGTTAATGAAGGGGTCAAATTGTTACAAATTGTTTACCCCATTAGACGAGGTGCATTAGTCAAGACTTTTTATTTGGACATTGTAACTGTAAATATAGCATGCTAATACAGAAGGAATGATTGATTTCTGTGAAACAGAAAGTGCAAGTTTAGTTAACTGGCTTGTTACTGAATATAGCTCTCACCTTAACTGCCTAAAGAAGTTGACTTTTTTGCGAGTTTCGGACAGATTGTGCATGTGGTCATCCAGGAACTTAAAATCCAGGCCCGTAGTGAACTCAAAATCATTTTTGGGCTTGCGATTGAATACGGGATCGGGTGTTTCTGTGCTCGGAGCAAGTGGCTTACAACGATTTGGGTATGGCTGGGAATATTGTCGTGTATAGCTCGATAGCATTGGAGGTTCCATATTGTCATCCATATCGGCTGTTCCATAACGCGGACTAAAGAAAATTGCAGCAAATAAATTATAAAAAATATAAATTAGAAACTGAAATTATATTTTCAACCACCTCTGTGTAAGCAAGTTTTTTAAATTAAAAAAATTTAGTATTTTGCTTTGCAAAACGCATACAAGGCACTTATTTAGTTTCCCCAAACCAGAGAATTTTCCACTCACTCATCCATATTGAAGGACTGAAAGTTGACCAGCTTTTTTTGCTGCGTGGAAATCGTCCTTAGCCCCTTGGCGCCCTCCTCGAGCATCGCCTGTGTGGTGGTCTTCATTTCATCATTGGCCATTGATTCCCACAGCTTGGTTTTCTTTTTGCAGGCCATTTCGACTGGGGTTTTGTGTTCGGAAAGGTGAGTTAACGATGTGAACAGGCACTCGAAACGAAGTGTACTACTGGACGATCTGAGAGGTTTCTCAGAGTGAATTCCTTTCAACCTTTGAGCTCGCCATAATCCCCAGCGCACAAAAACAGAAATCACATCATTAAACAGCCAGAGAGTTGTTCGCAATCGTTGCACAATATTATAAACGCCACAATTGAATTCACAAGCGGATTTATTGTGGGCGGAGGCAAATGGTTTCTGAATCAATAGGCGATGAAAATGAAAATCGAATACTGGGTCAGCGGTGGATATGCACAGGAGCCAAAACGAGTGGGTGTGTTTAGTGGCCAACCCGACTACAATGGCCAATAACAATGCCCGATTGGCTCTTTGGCGCAGCTCATAATGAGCTGCCACCTCTGTTTGCTTTTGCAACGACATTAATACGGGCTAATTAAACAAATATTGTGTGCATCCGACTGTTCCGAGTGTTCGTGCGTGTGTGTGTGTGTGTGTGGGGGTGTAAATCGCTTGGACCTGTGTGTGGTGATGAATGCGTGAGTCACATAACACAACATATATCTTATAGTTATTGCTATCCAGCAAATGCTATCTACCTCAATTAATATAGGTCTTTAGAATCGAAAGAAAGCGTTATTGTTATTAAATCTAAATGCAACTAAAAAAACTTTTTTCAATAATTGCATAGTAACTGGCTTTGAAAAAATTTTAGTTTTATTGATTACCTCCTAGATGTAATTTAAAAATAAAATTAACTTAGTTCTAATTTTTTGAAATGACCTATCTACGGTTTTAAAAATATGAAATAAACAATTAATTTTTAGTTCAGATGTCCGATGAATATATAACTAAAAACGACGTTATAATTATATTTTCAAATTTTTAGACACCTTTCTGTGTCGAAATACACCTGACAATAGCTTCGCCTAAATTTAATGTTTTCGTATTTAGTTGAGTAAGGGTATAGCATCTAAGGACACACTCACGATTGCGGTCACGTTCGCATCTTAATAGCTTGCCCGGGAGTGTATGTATTGGCGTGCTCACGCATATCAGGCGACTTGTATCAACAGACGACATCGGGTCGTCGATGACACCAAACCGAATGTTGAACAACATAATGCGATGGCCGTCGCAGGGGATGGGCGGAAACGGAAGTGATGCAGAAAATGAACGCATGGCAATTGGGGTGGCGGTGGTCCGGTCTTCATGTGGCTCATAAATTATGGGGCAGCATTTTGCATGCAACTGCATTTTGCGGCGCATAATTTGCATTTTTAAGCATTTTCACAGTGCATTGGGCATAATTAAAATCAACGACACCACCGCTTCTGACCACCAGTTCAGCTCCGATTTCGGTTCTGGCAGCAATTGAAACAGAACCCGGCTAACCTTGAAGGCGGGAGAATAATGACGTAGAGAAAAAGATTTGTCACAAACAAATTATTGAAAAAGATAAATTAATTGGAGTTTTTTTTAAATTTTTTTTTAACTTTAAATAGCTTATATGTGTTTCAATCTAAAATTAAGTGTTCGATAAAAATTGCTTAAGTCAAAGCTAAAACTTGTAAAAACTAAACTACTGTTTCATGAATTTTAAACTATTAAACAAATTTCTCAATAAGATGAATATTAAAATAATTTGTGGGCTTACTTATATTTTATTTTTACTTTCTGTGCGGGGAATATTTAAACTTATAGCCGGTTACTGTCTAATTATACACTATAATATCTCAGTGGAAAGATGTCAGCGACAGTGAAGTTTCTCACCTCAAACTTTTGCTCGCTCCAATTTGACTTTCACAAGGTTTTCTGGGGACGAGGCTGCATCAGCTTCGTGGGCAGGCAGCCGTGGCGCACACTTAACAAATTAATGTCAAGCCACAATAAAGTCAACAGCTGACTCGCTACAGGAGCGGCGAAAGGCAAAGCCAAAGTCGAGAGACTTAGGTGCAAGGGGGCAGTGAAAGTGGTGGCATTGTGTGCAATGAACGGAATCCGGCACACATAAGTTAAGCAAATATACTGCGCACCCGCACTTCCATAAAAATGCAGATGCAGACGAACAACTGGTCGGTCGCCGTAAAGTCTCCCGGCAAGAGTAAGTGCACCTGCTGCCAAAGACTCGAGATGCTGAATCAAATTCTCATATTAAATAATCGAATTCTTCGCATGCACATCATTTCAAATTCACGTTCGCACTTCCACTTCCACTTCCATCCACATCCACATCCACGGTACATTCATTCTACATTCACATACCACTTTAGCACACGCCTGATGCAAACAGTTTGCCTTCCCCCCCCACAGATATTCACCAAGCTTTTTGTATCTAGCATCTTAAAGTAATTTTTCTCGCCAACTCGCTTTGCCCGAGATTTTGCGCTTGACATAGTATTTTTATGAGGTTAGGCAGTGGAGCGGACAAAGAGGGTTAAGGATTATAATTTAATAAATGAAAAATTGTAATAACGACCTGTAATTTAAGCAAATATCTTATTTTAAAACTAAGTGAAATAAATAAAGAATAAATACCAACATTAGAAATTATGTCATTGCCAAGTATTATACTCAAATCACTACCATTGCACAATTTCCCATTACTTTTATAGGATACCCCTTTACTTTTGAATACTAATCTACGCTTACCACCATACTAACAGAAATAGACCATAAACATTCTTGCAAAGATCCTATTTAAAAAGGGAACTCTACACCCTTGTAGCCATATTTTCTGTATCCTTTTCGGTATCCTTTATTTGCGTGTGGCTGAAACTTCTGGCACGCACGTCCTCCTCAACTTTTGATGGTTGGTTGAGGTGTGAAATTTTGCGAGATGCACGAGGCAAATAGGCATAAAATTATTTAAAACTCGACGCGAGCCTGCACAAAAGGGTGCGCGGCATAAATGCGTGGCAGTTTCGCAACTCGCACTCTTCCAGTCTATGGCATTAAGTGTGAGATTTCTTGCTTAAATTTACGATGAAGCATCCATCTTCTGCTCTTCCAGTTTTTGCCAGACCTGAACGTATTCCTGGTAGAAACTGGACAGCAAATGAGGGACACGTTCCACGGCCAGCTCCAAGGGCACCAGTTCGGGATCAGAGAGATTCTTAAATTTAATGTATAGAAACGGCTCCTTGTAGGTGTTTTGTACCATATCCAATATAGATTCCACTTGATATCCCCGTTCAAAAGCATCGACTGCGGGAATGGGCGGGAGATTGGCCAGATCTGAAGAGAACTTCTTGAGGGGTTTTTTAACGGTTTGAACTAGTGTTGAGGGAGGTGTTTTGGTTGGCAAGTTGCAGGTCCGTTTATTCACAGCTTTCTAAGGAGATATGGCTTAGCTTTTGGTGGATGGAATTTGTTATGATACTCACATTATCCTGGGTAAACGGGATTCTACGTTTTCTGGCCACTGGCTCCATTTTGGCTTGCAAAATATATTTCTCTGCGCTTCTCTGACTGTTCCTGTGGTTGAGTGCTATAAACTGAAGTCGAAATCTTTTTCCTCCTTCCGAGTGGCACTTCATAGCCTGTTCTTCTCTGGAAATTCATATGACTGTCGCTTCTGTTGCCCGTTCTCCAAATGAACTTCCTGCGGCCAAAACAACTTCACGCCACTTTGAGCCGGCCCATGGCAACGCGCTGGTTGGGGGGTGGCAAGCGGTGGAAATGCAGTTAAATGAGCGGAAATGCAAAATTAACTCGCCACGAAAGCACAGAGCAAACAAAGAAATTGTTGTACAACTAAAAAATACCCCCACACACACTGGCAGAGTGAAGAAAAATGAAGGGGAAATAGAGAATGAGAAAATCAAGTGCCGTGGCACAAAAAAAGGGGTAGAAAAAACGCAATTGAAAGCAAGTAAAGCGGCGGAACAGAAAAAAAATGTATAATAGCAGAATAAACGTTGCCACTTGGCCAAATTTAATGCAAATATTTGGTCAGCCGCAAAAGGAAATGTTGTCTTTCCCGCTCCCGACAAAAGGTTTTCATTGCTTTCTACTAATGTGATGGTTTTTTGTGAAGGAAATCGCGAAAAATTAAGTGATTAAGTGTTGCTTCTTTAAATATGATATTTTATTAAAGTTTGACAAGATCACTTTAAAAACACTTTTAAACTCTTTAAGGTTCCTATGTTTTTAAAATATATTTTTCATTTTTATGTCAAACACTTTTCATATATAAAAATATTTTTTTTTTAAATCTGTCTTCCTTTTTAATCATTAAGTATTTAAAACCCATTTTAATTTATTTTTGTTTAATTTATATTTTTTTTAAGCTGAATTAAAGTTGAGTTTTCTTATTTATACATAATTTCCCACATAGGGTCTTATAATGAAAATGGAAAATGCTCAGCAGAGGCAATTTTGTCCTGGCCCTAAACCAAACTTCCATATATTTCCGGTGTTTCGCGCCCCACTTCAAAATTATCCTCCACAAAGAATTCCGCTGAGCTTGATAAATAGAAGCAAAGCGTTCGAGAATTGTGCATGATTTATTTCTTCTTTTCCTCGTTTTATGCCGGTCTGCTGTTTATATTCTTGCTGTGACAACGTCGCACTTTTCGGGATTTTCAAAATTGTATTTAATTGTTGGGGTAGCCCAACAGGACAGTGAAGTCCTTCGGTCGGCATTTAAAATAAAACAAACATTCTGCCCTGCCATGGAAATGACAATAAAAATAGCATCAAATTTATGGCATACCGAAATAGAGAGGTGGAGCAAAAGAAAATGGAAAAGGGAGACAGGAACCTCGTTGAGGGCATTTTATTCTCTTGCATCGTCCTTTTATTCCTACTTCATTTTGTCTGTCGTTCACTGAAAGAAATATATCAATAATTTAAGGTAAGGAAAAAAGGTATCATTTAAATACGTAATAAATAACCTAATTAAATAAAAATGAGTAATAGCTTATTGTACCTTAAAATCAAATCAAATGCTAAAAAAAAAGGTATAATTTTATTCAAACTAAAAATGTAATGTTTAGTTTAAATCAAAATTTATTCGAAAATGGTTAACTTATTATCTTTTAATAAAAATTTTAATATAAATTTACTTAAAATAAAATATGAACTTAGCCCAATTGCTTTTTTGGCAAGTGGCGTCTGTTAACTTGGCACTGACTTTGGCTTTTTCAGTCGCACTGACTTTGCACAATTAATGGCCACCTTCTGCTGAACCGCTGCCTCGCCCCCTTCCGCCCACCGCCTAGACATTCCCCAATTCGGCGCAATTATTGCGGCCATTGTGTGAGAACCTTTTGCCAAGTGTCTTGTGTGTCATCGTCACCGCTAAATTTAACATAATCCTCGGATGCTCCAGACCGAATGCTGCCCACTCCGGCAGCTCGTGTCGGGCGCCAGGAAAATTGTTGGCAGCTGACGCGACTTGGCCAGGATGTTACTCGAGGTCCTTTGTTAGCCCTTTTCCGCTGCTGCTCATTCGCCTGCCGCTTTTCTTCTTGCGCATAATTAATTTCACGTTCTTGCCAAAAATTATGCGACAGGATTTGTTTGCCCACGCTCCTTTTCCCCCGCTGAAAGTCCTTTACTTTGATTTCACTCAGTCTTAGTTTGTTGTATTTGTTTTGCATTTTGGCAAGATCTCGTCGGCCGCCTGGCGAACTTAAATCCTCCGTCGGACCGTCAACTTGGCCAATTGTGCTGCAAAGTCAGCTTAAAATGAAAAGTTCCTCGAAATAATCAGTGTAAACGGCTAAGCCATTTTAAATGCAGAAAATTCCATTGTCAAGTCGTTAGAGTTGAGTCTGCACTCTAAGAGAATATCTTAAACAAACAAATTTTGCCTTTAATGGGTATATTTTAAAAGCCATTTTAGAGAAATTTCGAAATTTCTCATGTCAACATGTGTTGGATTTAATATGATTTTATTTATTATTATTATTAAAGTGAAACCTGAAAATGTGGCCTTAGCAAAGCAAATATCCATAAATATCCTGAATTTAATTTCAAGGCAGAAACGAATCGACTGTCGTCTTGATTGCTGCATTCAAAGTGCAAACAAAAGCCAGGCGAGACAAACACTATCAAAAATGTATATTTATCGATACAATCCCTGCACATTTCCTGGCATAAGTTTATGCACTCTGACCCCCACAATTCACACTTGGCCATTTATAATTGTTGCAGCTGCAATCGATAACAATTTAAATCCATTGCTGCCAATAAACAATTATTGCAGCTACCAGCAAAACAAAGTTCCTACCCAATTTTTCCTCGATTTCCCTACCAACTGGGCTCAAATGGGTTCTAGGCCAGCAGCCCCATTAGCCACAGAGTGGTAGTCGCATATAAGCCAGCGGACGTTTTGCCAGACTCTCTCTCGTCGAGCTTTTTATCTTCATAAAAACGCCGCCAGACAAAGCACACATACGGCAAACGATGGCAGACGGACGGACTAACCAAAAACGAAATTCATTGCAAAAATGGTCAAAAATTGGCGAACGAAATATTGAGTGAAAATTCAGGGGGGCTGTAAAACGGGCGGACAATCCATCGAGGAGCACTAAATAAAGTTTGCACTGAAAAACTATTAGGGAGTCGGCACAAAAAATTCACAAAAAATAACAACAGTCCTGGAACAGAAAAAAAAAAAAAGTTTATCCACCCATGGAAACTCGTATTTGCAAATTCCAAAAGAGGCAATGAAATGGCAAACGTCTGCATGGATTGCATTGGAAATGCTCGAATTCGAAAGGTTTCTCTGGAGGGAGGACACGCCGAAACAGGAAATTAAAATCGAATCGTGTGTGCTTTGAATTGTGCATCTTCCATCTGAGCACGTGTATCTTTGTATCTGCGTATCTATGCATCTAAGTAGACGCCCCAAACACCAGAAAGTGTTTAATTTGATAGGGCCCCAGGGATTTCCACCCAAAAAAGGGGGGGCGGTCAAAAAGTTTTCGCCGTTACCTTGACTTCCAGAATTTATGTGCAAAGTTTTTCCGCGTCTACGTCTGTGAGCCGTTGTGCGTGTGCGTGGCCAAATTATGCAGTTTTAACGCATAAATTTCATGACTCGCGACCGGCGGCCATTGCAGGGAGGAAACTCCAGATTCGGTATCCAGCTCCAGTTTCAGTTTCAGTTTCGGCTCCAACTTCCTATCCCACTTTTCCCCCGGCAACTTTGGCCCGAAGTTCACACAACTGCGACTGTCTAATTAAAGCGTCCAGCTGCCGGGACTTTACTCCTGGCCCACTCCCAGAATCACTACCATCCTGAATGCCAGTGCAATTTAAATGCAGAAACCAAAATAGGTAAGACCGCTTTATAGCTCCAAAGGTGGGTAAGAAAAGCAAATCAAAAATGAATCTCTATTATTGATTTAGTTTCGAAATTACCGATTCACTTTTTAAATATTTGTTTTAAAGCTTTACAAAGTTAGGGTCATTTTTAAGAGCAAGCTTATCCGTGTCACTTTTTAATTTAACTTTCCGAAACTTTTTACTACGGCCACCCAAAAAATTCGTCCCTAATGAAAGCTGGCCAATCTGCTCAGATATTCATATATCCTGGCAGTGCATTAATCAACTGCGAGTGTATTCCATCTTCGTCTCGTCGCCACTCTGCTGTGTTCGGAGTTTGGTCTTGGTCCCGGTCGTAAATATAAAAGTTGGCACAGCTCCCCGGAGACAAATCAGTTTGATTTTGATTGCATCTTTTACGGCCTTTGGCACCTTATAACTTTTTCCGGCTCACCTGATCGACCCCGTGGATTCTGAAGTGGCGAGCAAATCGGCGACACAGGTCCAACAAGGCAAAGCCCGAAGCAGATGTCGGGTTGAGTTTCTATCACGGCAGACGCTTGTCTTAATCCCAACCAGCTGCACTGGGATAAATGAGTCAAAGAAAGCCACACAGTTAAAAAAAAAAAAAATAAAGTTTATACCAAGGAAACTATTATATATAAAAATCGTATTTTACATTTGTTGGCCTTTAGTATTCACTTTTTTAAGTAATAAATGTTTTTATATATTAAATTCTTCATTTTGTTTGATGAAATAACATTAAAATAACAGAACTAAATAATAAAGAATTTAATACTTACCCCTCTTTTAAAAACATGAAGACTATTTTTATTTTGGCACCAAGTATTTCCCCCTGTGCTCCTTTCACTTCTCCTTCCGCTCCACTGCAGTTTGGCATCATTGGGGGCATGTCCTGTATGTGTTTCGTCATGTTTTGTAGCTCGTCCTGCGCCGCTCGTCTGCATTTAGATGCCAGGATAAGCTCGTAAAACTTTTCGTAAGCCAAGAGCCGAAAGGAGCGAGGAAAAAACTTGGCTTTCTTTATTTGTTGTTTCGCTTTTTCTGGCCTTGTTTGCCAAAAGTTTTATGCGTTAGCCGAAAGGTGACCAAACGGCATGGAGAACAAGGAAAATTAAGGACTTTAATGAATCGTCGGGGAACAGTTGAAAGTGCTGTGGGGAAAAAAAGAAAAAAATCTTTAAAAGAGATAGGAAACCTTGCTTCATGGCAGGTCTAAAAAATGTCTCACACAAAATGCTCTTACAATTGAAATGTCAATAATGTTTTATGACATTGCAGCGTTGGGCCCAAGGAAAACAACCTCGAGGAGGACCAGCCACCCACCAAAAAATATTTTCATTTGCCTGACAAATCTTGACATGCAACAGCAATCAAAAGCGACGGCTCGGGGCCTGCCCAGGGGGCAGTAGGGGGTTAAGGGTGTGGGCGCCACCGAAACAGGACAACATTTTGTGGCCTGTCTTGCGGTGTTTGCCCGAAAATGGCCAGAAACGAGCGCAAAAAGTACAAACGATAAAAGGGACAGAGGAAATCCAATTCAAAATGTCATCAGACATTCTAATTTCATTCATTTTTCAATACAATTCCAAGGTCCGGCCACTCACTTCCTTGTGGCCGCATAAATTGTGATTTCGATAAAGGCCAAACAGGCCAAACGGGCAAAAACACGGAATCAACAGCGACCAAAACGGTAACAGTGACAGTGACTGCTCCTCTGGTGTGACACGAAATTCTGGATTACACTCGTTTCGGGCAAATTGAACTTCTTTGCTCGCCTTTCTTGTTTCCGCAGCTTAGAGGGAAGCTTATTGTCAGGCTGTTCCAAACGCTTTTAAAACTCACACTAGAATACATTTTCTATAGATCCTAAAGTTTAATATAAGTTTTCTTAGTCTATTCTTCAAACATTTTGCTAAGTTAGAATTATGCAATATTCGACTGAATAAAAATATAGAACTAAACCCCCTATTTTAATTTTCAAGTCCTCATCACCAACAGCTTTAATTTTGTAATTTCTTAACAAAGTTTTAAGTTACTATTAATTTTTAATAATTTAAATTGATAAACTATACTAAATTTAAACTATACGATGTGTCTTTAAAAAGGTTATTTATAGTACCTAAGCTAAATTTCTTTTTTAAAATGTAGCGTTTTGATGGCTTGAAAGGGTGTTTAAAATGTAGTTTCCTAACGCACTCCATCTGCATTCGCAACGGGAAAATGTTTCGAATTTCTGCCCTGGACCTGGAGTGAAAAATAATAAAAAATTATATAAAAACCCGACGGACTTCAGACAAAATGTCAGTTGAGCAAACTTGCAAGCGTAGAAGCATTCAAGGAATTTCACAGTTTTTTTTACAAGATATGATTTTGCATTTGAGTGGGAAGTACAACAGACAGAAGGTCTGGGTCTTGAGGGCAAATTGAAATTAGCCATTGTGCATTATTTGATCGGGAGAGCGAAATTGAATTGACCGCCGCAAAATGATAATTAGCATCATTAAGCACGAGTCCAATGCTCCTTGTAAACTAATTAAACCGCCAGCGACAACAGTAACAATTGCCAACGGTTCGCCCGAAATGCAATCACAAATTAATTGTGGCAATAATTGCTTTCTAAATAACTGTAAGCCCACGACTAGCAATTTGCCACATAGGTAAGTTTGTTAATGTTTATATATAAGTGTGTATTTTCCGTGTGCGCTACATAGCAAAACCATTGCAACGCTTTGCGGCAGATTAGCTAAGTTGATTTAAGTTGATTTAAAACCGCACTGCAAGATGACGGCTAGTACACTAAGGTAAATTATTAATAAAAGTGTTATAATAACACTTTTCTTCAAATTATACGTAACTTTGCAAGTGTTATGAGTTCCTCAATAATATTCTTAAAAATTTAAGCTAATTATCTCTAAAATATCTTATTTAATATGGCAATTTAATAAATGATATAAAATTGCAATTGTCTCCTCCGTCTTATTGTTTTTTTTCTGAGTGTACACTTGGGAGAACGCCAAATGAAGAGGGAGTGCAAATGGCTGAGCTAAATGGCTGCCTAATGAGGCCATCGGCGCGTATGATTGATTTAGGTAACTGTGAGCGTGGGGCTGAGTGAAATCCGCTTGGGGCTGGCTTTTCTATGTGCATAATTCATAATTCAATTGATTCGAACTTAAAACACAGGCTCGGACTTCAAGTTCAGCAAAGCTTTATAGCTGAGATAGGCTGAAAATAGAGAATGATTAATGGGTAATTTCACTTTAACTTCACAAAAACTTACCAGCCAAACCTACGCCAAGAGCCACAAGAAAATATGTAAGTCGGTTTCGCCAGAGGTGAGAAGTGGTTGAGTGGTTGGCACATTTGGTACACACTGGATGGCAGTGTTTCTCAAACATCTGAGCGAGATCCTGCCGTTGCAGGCGCATCCTCAAGGTTTCATCATCTTGCCTTGGGGTCTTATTAGGATCTAGTTCGAACTTGACATCCGTTGAGTTCCAGTCTTTATCATTTGCCCCATTGATCATGTCTTCTGGTATGCTCCTCACATCTAGCTGGCCACCGGGTAAATTCTCCTTAATTGGCCACAGCGTTACAGTCAGCTCTGTGGTATCAAATGGCTCGACCCTGCCAGTCGACGGTTCTGCACTATAATCCGTATCTTTGGTTAAATGAATACGATAGATCACAGCCTTATCGCTGGGATTGAGCAGTGTAATTAGGCGCTTTTGAGGGTACAATAAAGGCGCCTGAAAACTCAGGATTAAAGGTGTTACAATTAGCTGAACGTTAGACATTTTGAAATCAAAAAATTGAATTTGGAAACTTTTGATTCAGAATGATTTCAACATGAAACTTAGCTGCTACTGGGATGAATTCAGTAGAAGTGCAAAATATGGCGTCCTAAAATTTAAATGTAGAAACAAAGATCTAGTTTTAAATTAATTAATACTAACAAAATGTATAGTTAATATACCTGCAAACTATTAGTAATTTTAAATCAATATTTATGAAACAACATTTGTTAAAATTCAACATCGTTTGAATAAGGGTCCTAGCATCCATTATCCGATTATTCCATAACAAACAGCAGTAACGTAACTCAGTGACCTATCCTTCAGAAGCCACTGGCACAATTACGTAAGATTTAAGTGGCTCACGTCATGATGCTCCTTGGTCCGGGACTTATCCTGATCCACTTGAGCTGTCCTGAGGGAGGCCGCTCATTATGGAAATTGTGTTCCTTGTGTATTTGCCACATCGATAACATTATTAGCAACAAATGTCCCCATCCTTGACTGCTGACCAATTTTGTCAGCTTTGCCAATTTGGGGCTACCCTCGTCTTTGCTTTTTCTCCCAAATTTTCCTTTTTTTTTGTTTGGGAAGTGAATGGTCTGCCTGGGTTTGGAGTGTGTCCGCTGTCAACAGCATTTGTTGAACGCTTCCTGGGAGCTTCTGCTTCTGCTTCTGGTTCTGCTCCCCATTCCCCCCATTTCGCTCCCCTCTTGGCAAGGACTTTTCCCATTCAGACCAATGAAGCATCGAGCATTGTTGTGCCGGGACAAGCGTTGACAGCCAGCACGGAGACAAGTTTTTCTTTCGTTTCGGCTTGGACAAAACGGTGCGTAGTTGAGCGCAGCTGCTTCAAAATATAATAAATAAATAAACATAATTTATAAGTAGCAGATTTTTTACGTCTGTGTTGGCACAAATACTTAAGCACTCCCGCTGCCAAGCGTCGACAAGGATCTGCCCGACACTCGAATTTATTTCATTTTTATCTCGGCAGATGAATGCGGTGCCATGTTGCGGGTATTTTTGCCGAGGCAAAAGCTCCGAGACAAAACACGATGAGATTAAGCAACTTTTTTCCACGGGATCCCTTATTTTGTGGGTTGTGCGAGTGTGAATGGGAGCTAGGGGGTATTCGTGCCATGTCAAGTGCATTGCGTGTCCTTACGTAAGCGGAATGTTGATGGTTCAATTCATGGTTACTGCTGATACTAGCTTTTTTCGCTTGCCCTGAGCGCTAAGATATCTATATTAGTTATTTTACGTATGTTTCTTTTTTTTGGAATAGAAAATTGTTGCTTACTTATAACATTTAATATACATTTCTAAAGATATTGACATTTTATTTTTAAGGATTATTAAATTGGCTTTTTTATCAACTCATTTTTATTCTTGTATAAATGGCTTTTACAAATTTTTGTATATTTTTTACAGGTGATACCTTTAAGCTTAAAGTATACTAAGTTTCACTTTTAGCGATCTGCCATTCACACTCACCCACCTATCGTAACGAAACCCTTTAAGTTACGTTGACCCTGCGTTGTTGTTACTCGCGTACCCTTCACCACTCACGCTCATCCACTTGACCCACACTGCCTCCCTATTGCACTTTAGATTGTCAAAACCACAACTTCTTTTTTCTAGCTGCTGTTAAAAATGCCAAGCCAAAATGAGGAACAAAGAATTTGCAGAAGGCCTGGCTAACCGGAAGTCGAAAACACAAACGTACTAAAAGCCGCTCTCAGCAACTGCGCGGGATATATAATAATACACACATATATATGTATGTATTATGGGTATATATATTTATGTGGGTGTGACGCACAAGTCCGGGAGGACCACACCCACATACTCGACTCAAGCCGAAGAGGGGGCACATTCAAATGGTTCCATATTTCTTGACAATTTAGGACACCATTAGCGAAAAATTATTACTGTGCAGCCAGTAAGTGGAGTACGAGCAGTCTTAGTGGGAGTGGGAGCGCGATGGGAATTTTCCAGGGCATGGCGAGCGGGGGCCACGGCTGAGGCTTAAATGGGAGAAAAAAATAGGCGACAATAGGCGAGGGCAACGTCGTCCGATTTTTGGCAGTGACAAGCCCCGCAGCAGCCATGAAAATTCTAAGGGAAAAAATCGAAGAAAACTCTGCCCGGTACATTGGTTTGAGATACAGTAAAAAATATTGAAGCACAAAACAAAATACTTTAATTTAATTGTTAAATTTTAACGAAACAAAGACAAAGATCATTTTCTTATTGAAAATCAAACTATGCTCTTCTGTTTAGTAATTTCAAATGAAAGCGACGAGAAAAAATAAATCAATCATACGCCTATTAGGCACAAATCCATTACAATTATTATTATTACAACAAAAAAATAGTGGAAAAAAGAGTTTACAAAAATCGGAAAAAAGATAAAATTAATTTTAAATTACTTTTTAAAAGAGATTGTTTATATAAATTTGTATATAAATTTGTCCAATCTTTTAAAGTATGAGTTACTTTCTATACCACTACAAACCACAGTGTATTGGCGCTGTTTCGCCTTTTTGTTGTGTTTTGGGAAAAGCGCGGAAAACTTATGTGGGTGCTTAAGTGAACCATTAGCGCCGCGCGTCATTAAGTTGTTTCCGCTTCGCACACTTCTCGCTCTGTTTTCCATTTCGGCTGTGGGAAAGGAAAACGGATCCGAGCCTAGTCCCAGACATGCCGCTCGAGCGGAATACAGCACGTACTGGTGAGGGGAGTCGGGGCGGGGTCTGGCATAGGCCACATCATTAATGGTTATGGACCCAGACCCGGACCAGACACCAAAGACGAGCTCCGTCCGTCCGTCCGCTCGGGCTTTTTTCGAGTCCTTTGCGGTTCATTGACCAGACGGAGGGCGTGTTGATTTATGCTGCTCCAATGGTGTCTGGGCGGCTGTCTCGTTATTTCTCCCAGCAGTAGGCTCAACATGTTTTTTCCGCCTGCTTTCCTTTTTCAGCGCAATTAGATGGGGGGGCTGGGGAAAGTGGGCGGACCAAGTCAAGTCCACACCACACACAAACCGGCCAGTGTCAAGAGCAAAATTCAATTAAACGCAAATCGGTGCAAAAATCACACGAAACGTCAGGTACCCGGTGTTGTTGGTCTTGTTGGCAGGCAAACAGACACCAGCACCATGAGGCCATCGAGAAACTCAACTGGCTATCAATGCCATGACGCCCCGTGACCACCACACTGCAGTCCAGTTTGGTTTGCTGGTTTAGCTCGGCTCAGTTCAGTGCGGAGCAGTTGGGAGCAGTTGGGAGCAGTGCCGAGCAGCAGTTTGAGTTTGCCCGGCAGTTTGTGCACCACTTAAACAGTAAGTCCAGTAAACAAGGGCACTGCAAAAATATTCTTGTAAACCACCAAGTACCACTTAACTAAATAAATTCAAACTAAATAAATTGTCAACTTTTTTTTCGAAATTTGCTTTATAATTTAAGGATAGAGTATTGTAAATAAATTGACTGAATTCATATAGGGTATTTGTTTAAGACGACTATTTTTAAGTTTTTAAGAAGTAAGAATGTAATATTATGATTTTTAAATGAAATGTAGAACCTTACTTTTTATTACATGTGCTACTTAAAAAGATTAAAAATATAAAATAGACACTTTTTCGCTCAGTGCACTTACCTGAAAGGCAGCAGCATGGCGTTGGTATGCGTGCGGCTGTTTAATGGCAAATAAAACCCTTGGGCAGAACTGCAATCGGAGCGGCGCGGGATCAGCAGCCTGAAAACGCCCGACGACCCGACAGCCATTACGGGCTAAATGGATTTGATGAGCGTTTATGTGCAGTGGCGGCGATTGCATGTTCTAATTATGACAAAGGGCCGGTCCTGCCCCCCGCTACTGACCCCTGACCTCGCACATTTCAGGTGTTTAGCTGTTCAACTGTTCAGCTGTTCAGTTGTGTGAGTGCCAGTTGCACCTTGCCTTGCGCACGCAGCGTGTTATGTAAATGTTTGCCTTTATCGCCATTCAGCGAGCTAAGCGCTAATTAAATTTGATATTAATAGTGGAAAAATGTTGCGAAAACAAGCCATGGGAATGCATTTATTAGCCAGAGAGTGTAAAAGGGAAAAACAACTGAATGCTTATTAACAATTCACCATCAATTATGGTTGCCTGTAAGCTGTGAACACAGTTTTAGTAAATTTAAACAAAATTTAAAGACTCTCTTATGGTATCCAAATTATTGCAATAAACGAAATTCTCTTTTATAAATGTTCACCATATCTTAAACTTTCAGACAAAGAAATTGCTAAATAATATACCCAAATAAACGATGCTTAAGTTTTATTCAATGAGAAGTCCCTTAATACAAAGGGCTTTAAGTTAAGCCACACCAATGCCAGAGGTTAATCTGAAACCGAATAACATAAAATCTGTTTATAAACCTCCTGGATGCTACTGAAAATTGCCATAGAAATACGCACACATAAAGTTATTATTATTTGCACCTTGGCTGTGTTTCTTTGGCACCGCACTCAGCCCGCCCAGCCAATTGGCTTATCAGACATCCGCCTTTGGGTCACGCCCCGTGCAAACCGAATTTGCATGTTTATTGTGCGGTGGCTTTATGGCCGTAATAGCAATAATTAAGGCTTATTTACAAGCTCACAAAGCCCGGCTCGGGCGATGGCGACAACAATTAGAGCGCCCTCGCCACGAGGATAACGACCGAGGACAACAACTGCAGGAGCCACTACAGGTAGCAGCAGCTGGCCAACAGGATCCTGCCATCCAGCCACACAGCCAACCTGCCATCCTGCCCTTCTGCTATCCTGCCATTTTCCCTACATCCTACTGTGTGTGCTGTGCAAGTGTGTGGTCATTTGACGGCTCATATTGGTAATTATTTGCACATTGGGACAAGGATAACACACACGACGGAGCAGCAAAGAGGTGGAGAAGCGAAAGGACTAGGTGTTCAGGGACATTCAAACACTTTGATTAGCCGATACACCAACTCGACCACCACGCATTCAACCAGGCACTCAACCACCCACAAATCAACCCACTCAAGCACCCAAAAGCAACACAATCAATGGCGGCAAAGGCAGCAGGAACTGCATTCCAATTCAGAGCAATGCAGGTGATCGAAGCTCTTACACAGAGAGAAATAATTTATCAAAACAAAAAAAATGATTACCAAAAATTTAACACAAATACTTTCAATATAAAATATTTTTGCTTTGGGAAAGGTTTTGTAAGCGAAAGAAAAATTGTATATAAAATAAATCGTTTTGTATCATCTAAATATTTTTTAAATTTAAAAATGAATGAAATCATTATTTTGCAGCTTAAAATATATTAAAATGTAATCTAAAAGTTATTTTTTGTATGTGCAGCTTGCTGATAAAACAACCTTTCTGAGTTAGAACTATTTAAATACCTTAACAAATAAATATTTTATTAAAGAAAGAAAAAATGATAATATTAATTTAGTAAGAAGCCCAAATATAAAAAATGAAATCATGAAGCTCGCAACGATCGCATGTTTCCCAGTGCAGCTCTTAGCTTTTAGCTAGCAGCTCCCAACTCTTGAGCGCTTTTGAACTGGCAAATGAAATGAAATGCTTCCCGAATTGCCGATTGAGCTGAAGCAATTTGGTTTATATCTTTTATGCGCGCCAAACACAAACATTTTGCACGTAAAGCCAATAAACCCTGCACATGCCCTTTGTGTGTGTGAAGCGCCAGGTGAGGAGCTGGCATTGAAAATAAGAAGCACTCAGCTGTAGCGGAAGGACTTCCAGCCAGGCCGACAGGAAGCTCCATGCCAATGACGATATCATTTCAAATTGTTTTCAATCAAATGTGACTTGCATCTGTAATTTGTATGCAAACGAGTAACGAGTTGCCCACCCCCGCTCAAGCCCGTCAAACTGATTTGTGATTGACATGCTGGAAATGCTACGGAAGTGGCTGGAAAAGAAACGCTGACGCAGTGGCTGCCATTGGAAAATAAACTGTCTCTAAGGCAAACTCTTCGGGGCCGGGCCAGTTGATTAGGTTTTGATCGTGTCTTGGCGGTGCGTTGGCATGGAAATTGACTCCGGCTAGGGGAAATAGCCAAACAGAAACAGTTATTCAATCGAAATAAATTTAATCAAGAACGCGATCCCATTTTTAAATTTTAAAATGAGATTATTTTTGAGTATTAATACAAAAACAAACGAAAAACTAATTATATTTAGCGACACAAGAGAACTATCTGAAAGTTATGAATATTAGTAATTTTTAAATCTTGTTCATTTATTTGTATTATACGAAAAAATATGATATACACATTTAAAAGTTAATAACTATTAACTATAATACAAAAGTTTCTTCGTTTTTAAATTACGGCATGGTACACATGAAGCATTCAGTTGGGGATATGGTTTTGAAAATGGTTGAGGTTATTGCTGATTATACGGGTAAGGATATGGATGGGGGTACATCACAGGATAATGTGGAGGATATTGTGGTGGATATTGTGAAGGATATTGTGGTGGACATTGTAAAGGATATTGTGGTGGATATTGTGGAAGATACTGTGGAGGGTATTGCGGAGGGTATTGCGGAGGATATGGAATGGGTATTGGAATAGGTATATTAATTTGTGGGGGAGGGGCTGTTTTTGCGGTCGGAGTTTTTATTATGATTGGACGTTTGTCAGCTGGAGGTTTCAATATGATTGGACGCGGTGTTGGTTCCGATTCGTCCGAACATGGTGGGCAGCGCTTGCAAAGAGGCCAAACGCACGGTAGGACACATCTTAGTATACCCCGAAGGCAAAATAACGTTCTGGGCCTCAATGCTCCAGCGGTGACATTTCCATTCGGTGTCTGCTTAGCGCCGCAAATCAACAGCAATGAAAGAAAACAAAATGTGCTCTTCCACTGCATTTTGATATGGTGTGTAGACGTCCGGAAGGTTTATCCAATAGAAATTGTATTCGAATTGAATTCTGTATATAAACTAGAGCCACACAAAAAAGACTCTGAACTTTCCTTTAGTTATTTTAAGTCGATTCGAAATTGCTTAATTTATTCAGTTATACTATAATATGTATTCGGTATGGCTGTTTAAAGGCCCTTTGGATTGAGATTGATATATTTCAAAGGCTAAAATAAAGTGGCTGTAAAAGTAAATGACATGAAATAATAAAACATTCGTGAGACAATAAAATAGGGGTATGTAGGTTTTTGAATACAAGAAAAGAATTGAGAAAGTAAAACAAAAGCAAGGTTAAACCAAAAATTCGCACATCAAAATGTATACAAACGGATATTATTTCTTAAGTACATTGGAAAGTAAAATAATTTATAATTTTAAAAGTTTTATAAACGATTTTAATATATTTTTACATTTTTAAACTTATATTTTATCGCATTTGTACATTGGAATTATCTTAATAATATGACTTTTTGGTTTGTTTGATCTCCATATAGGTGGAATAAAATTGATACCGCAGCGATACGTGGTAACTGTATGAGAGACATTTAATTATTATAGGATTTTTTGTAAGGATTGTTTTGGGTTGTCTGGTCGGGGTGCCAGAGCAGGGTGGACAGGTTTTACAATACGGCCACTGACATGGCAGTAAACACCTTAACACACCACGAAGACAACGGAATAAGAACGTTCTGGGCTTTGGAACGTGACTCCTTGGCTCTTTTACTAGTTCTTCGTCAGATGATGCCTTGCTAGCGCCATAAATTACCAGGATTAGAAAGATAAATATTTCATTCCTCAACTTCATTTTTTATATCGTATCCAATTTGACCAGGCCGACACACCACTATAAAGGAAATGTACTGCATATATCACCAAATGCCACTCAAGTGAGTCTAAGATATTTTATCAAGCATTATTAAATCGACGGTAAATTGATTTGTTTCAGTCGTTGCGGTTGCAAAGACACTAAAATGTTGAAAAAAGGAATCGGTAAAATATATAAATAATATCAAAATGTATACGAGCGTATTGGAAGTAAAATCATTTATCATTACTGAAATTTCAAACTATATTTAAAGTTTTTATATCTGTATTTCAGCCAATGCCGATCGATATTCTTGAACATTTATACTTACGTGCCCGCCTGTTGGTCTCTCTACTTATTTGTGCCCCTGAAGTCCGCAATGTTAATTAAATTATAATGTGCGTGTTAATTACTTAATGAAGCGAATTGTTGCATCCATTGTCCATTATGCAGTGCGCCTGTCAGTGGCAGCCTCAACTTCACTCGATTGTGCAATGACCGATGACGGCCACAAAGGACATCAACGACGTCATCATTCCATACTTCCACTGAACTTTGACCCGTCCGCAATGCTCACTTTTTTCGCCCCTCCGTCAGCGTCTTTGCCCTCGGCTTATCCCGCCTTTTGTCTGTCTGGGGGCCATTAGGACGGAAATTCTGGCTGGCCGCTCATTAAAAGCCAAGAAGAAAAAACAGCCGATGGGAAAAGGTACAGGTCGTCGAGGCGCATGATTAAGAAGCAAAGATGTTAAAAGTAATATGCTTTTCAAAAAAAAAAACGCCGCTTTGTGCTGGCTCTTTGTTTTGTACTTAATGAAGAGGAGGTTTGCTATTTAAAACCAAAATAAGAAATACCTATTTACTTGCATTAAATACATATTTTAAAATTAAATTTTAATAATTAAGCGTAAATTCTGATAAGCAAATAGTAGGTTTGTCAATGTTTTGAATTAAAAAAAAAAGTTAATCCGAAAATAAACCATTTAATAACTTAAGTGTTATAAAATATGCAGAAATTAATAATTAATTAATCATTTTCCATTTAAAATCAAGCTCTTCACCTAGTATATGTACCCTCTGTATACCGCTTTTAAAAGCCAACGCGTGCGTAAAATTGCATTAATGTTATTATGGGAAAAAAGGACATTTTGCGTAGAAGGTATAATTCCTAGCTCCGATGTTATTTTTCGCCTTGTTGTTGCGGTTGGCAAGCAATTGGGATAAAGTGAAATGTACTCAAGACCGAAGGCAACCATTTTACCGCTTGTCATTGAGTGAAGGAGTCCCGAAACGAAATCGCTACCCTTTGTTCGCAGAAAGTTTTCCTTTTATTTTATTTTTAAATGAACCAGTGAAAAAGGTAACAGGGTTAATTTCACTCTTGTGAACATTGAAGGGTTCTCCGTCTTTAAGTCTTTAAAAGGGGCCTTGCCTTCGGTTTGTTTTTTGCTAAAATATGGCTCTCATAATTCAGACAAACACACAGGGGCAAATACAGATTGAGCCGTTTATCAGTGTAGGTTGGAGGTTTTTGGGGCTCACCGGCTTTTCCACCTAAGAGCTTACACATGTGAGTTTGCAGAGCTAAAGAGCCTGCGGAAATCTACTCGCTTTGTTGATTTAGTTTGCACTTGTTGCGTGGCTAACAAATTGTTATCCTTTATTTATGGCGGATTTCGTCGCCATTTCTGCTCTTGGGGCTCCGGTTGTGCCCCGAAAAAAGTGGCAACAAGGCGCTAAGCGCATTAGCAGACTCCCTGGGAGCAATCCTGTGTGTCCTTGTGTGTCGGGGTTATTTATTGGAAGTGTGCCGAGTGCGGTGACAATGCGCTAATGTGCGGCACACGCTGGGCATAAATTCCATTCTTATTTTTGCTGCATTGCCGGAAAAAGTTCCCAGACTCCCAGATTCCCAGACTTTAAAGCGGGCTCGTCTGCTTTGAAAATTTGCATTTGCATAACCCCCAAAAACCATTTGAGGTCGATGGAAACAATTGTACATTGACCACTTTTGAAAAGCGGCCAGTTCGTGGCGTAATCTGTTTCAATTCACTAAATCCACAATTACACTTAGTGCACTTTTTGAAATTAAGATATGTTAAGAAATAATTTCTAAATTAAGCCACAACAATATTAAATCCGCTGGGGCTTTTGTCCTTACGGCAGAACTTATTTTGTCTCTAAAACATGTTGCAGTTAGACATTGTCTAGTTAGTACTCCAAAGTTTTAAGATAGATTTTTATATAAATAAAATTTTATTACTTATTTTTTAGATATTGGAAAGGTTCAAATAAATGTTACCATGAAAAAACAATAAAAAGCTTAAATGAAACATGTATCAAAGTATACCGATAATGATTTTTGGCGCAGTGCAATGGGTGCTCAACATGTGGCAGCTGCTGCGCGCACAGCCAGTTGAATGGGGAATCGCATATAGCAGACATAAACTCCTTCACTTTTATGGCAATTGCGTTAAAAACACGCACGACAGGGCAGCATGGGTTAAGCGGACAACGTGTCGTATGCGCGCGCTCAAATCAAATGAAGCGCAGTTGACGGCGACATTGCACTGCAAGTGTCGCCTGTGTGCCTGTGTGTGGGTGACATTGCAACGTGACAAGAGTGAGAAGGAATCATAGAGAGGGGGGAAAGGGGGGTAAGGTGCAACAGACAGATGCCAGAATGCCAGCTTACCAAATCCGCATTAATTTGCCATTTAAATGGCTCTAAGAGAGGAGCAGAAGCTGGCAAAAGTATACTGGGAAAAATTCCAGAGAAAATCTTTGTACAAAAAATTTAGAAATTAAATAACAAGCCCATTAATTACCATTATATTTACAAATTAAAATAATAGCCGGCACTTGTGCATGATTTAAGAGAAAATTGAAAAGGAAAAAACGTTGACAGCCAGCAATTAATAAACATGTATCGCCTTTCATGTGGAAGGCAAAACTAATTAATTGCTGTGGCCAGGCCTTTATGATTTTGATTCCCACACTTTTGTTTTACAAACAGGGCAGGCCAACAGTTTTATTGCCCTCTCAAAGCCCCTTCCACAAAAAAATGTTGGCCATAGGAGGGAAGGCAAACCGTTTTCCGTCATTTGGCGAGCAGTCACATCCATCAACTGTCAAGCGACAAAACCGATTCGCGTGTGATAGTTTCGGATTACTCAAAAAAATCACATAAAAACACTAGAGCGGCAGGACGGCAATAATAGCCAGGATATTGACAACGACAGCAATTTTTGCTAGTCAAATAAATGAATTGAATTGTTGTTTACTGTTCGTGCTATTTGAAAATGGCAGGGAATTGCATTTTCGAAAACGCTTTTCCAAACTGACAGCATGAGAAATATGGCGAACTTAATTGCTGTGTACATAACGCGATTGCCGAGCGGAAGTTGAATGCGGCATAAAAATATATATAACTGAAAACAGAAGTGGGATTTTCTATCAAATTAAACAACATGGTTTAATGTGTATGCCATTTTTGTGGTTTTTAATTTATTATTAAATGTAATGATTAATTAACTGGTTATATAACTGGTTTAAGGACTAAAGAAACTTAGTCCTATTTGTATTTTCCCTTCATTTTCTGCTTGTGACTATATTTTTATTACTCTAACAATCTTTATTTAATATGCTTCGTCACACGTTCCATTTTGTCTTCGGCCCTCACCCCCATAAAAACGTGATATAAATTCAATCGACCATTTGGTATTGGGCTCTCGGCTTGCAAATTGACTGAATGCAAAATATTTCGCAATTAAATATTTAAAATGCAAGTGCGCTGTCATATTTTGTGCCCATTTCAATTTGACTTGCTTGTTGTGCGAGCTTCCCTGTATTTTTTTTTGCGCTGCCCCCATTTCTGCGCTTGCGAATCAAATTGAGGCTACCAACTGTCGGTAATTTGCATATTTGAGCTGCAAAATTGTCAGCCACGAAGTGGGCTTAAGGCCCACACTCGTAGGAACAACTCGGCGGCTGATTGAAGGAGTCTAAACTGGGCTTTTAAATAGATGTATGTGGGGTGCGGGTTGTGGGCGAGGTTGGCAATTCCGGGGACTCAAAATTGATTTATTATGCAGTAATTGTTTTGGCCCACTTCGGAGTCTGCATACACAATGGGTATCCGAGACTAATAGTACACTTAACTGGTCGAGCATTAAAATAAGTGACTAGGCAAGCAATTGGCAATCGGAAAATGAGGACAATTGGCTAATGACTTTGACACAGATACTAAATTTGTCCGCTCATAAAGAATGCATTTAGAAATAGTATCCTTTAGAGCACCTAAAAATAATTTTAGCATATATTTCCAAAAGCCACTTGACTTTTAAAATTAATTAAAACTTAAAGATTATAAATCTTTCTTATCAATTGTCTGTCGAAGTAAGCCCTTAAAGTCAATCCATTTGATAAATAATTAAAATTAAATCCAGAGGACACCTCCTAGATTGTATTCTTGGGAAATCCCACAAGCTGCTTACCCTGAATCCTGCGGCTATCCCTCTTTAAATGCTAAACAAAGTGAGCCCCTCATCCGGTCTTATCCTTCGCCAATCCTGACTGCTAAATGTCCAACAATTATGCACAGACAACGTAAATTTCAATGATTTCATTGTGTGGCTTTTCATTTGGAATTTATTGCTCGAAGGGCATGAGATGGGGTTGTGCGAATGGGATTTGGTTTAGCGTGGAGTGCAAAAAGTTGCAGACTCTGCTGGCGGAAAATCAACATGAAAATAAAGTTTTATATTTATTATTTAAAATGGTTGTGTGCAATTCGGCGAGTGTCGACGTAGATGGCAAATTAAATCGTTTCCATAAGCCCGCTTCGAGGCGAAACTCAACTCAACTCAACGCAACGCAACGCAACGGCAGCCGCATTAAAGTTTTATTAATGAAGTGCCCGCTTTAAGCAAACACTTTGGTGACAAGCCCTTCGGGGAAATGCGGAAATAAAAAACCATTTTCTCATTCAATTTGCATTTTTCATTTCCATTTTATGGCAGCTCGGAGAAGAAGCCCTGACCAAGAAAAAAAAAAAAAACGGCAACCCAAACAAATGTTGCCCATCACGCCGCTGTCATTCAATCCAAGATCAATTGCTGTAAAAATGACAAAATTATGCCAGCATCGCTTTTGCGGGCGAAGGAGGAGTGGAAAATTTGCAGTAGGTTTGGTCGGTTTCAATTCGGTTTAATCTGCTCAAATGACCGTCGTTCAAAAAAGAACAACAATAATGGCGCAAAACTACTAAGAGCTGTCATTTGACAGATTCAATTTGCCGAGCGGGGAGTTTTGTAAACTCAACTGGGAATGATTCGTGCGGAAAGCGAATGGTTAAATTGGCTGTGCTCCGTCTTCGTGTTTGTGTTTGTCGATTATTAGAGGGAAAGACTTTTGCTCAAGGGGATTTGGCTTTAAGACTGGGGAAGCTGACAAAAGATTAGGAACAAAATGTTAAATGAAATTAATTTTTGAATTTAAATTTGAGGACTAAGCCATCATCAAAATAACTTGAGTAACTTTTCCACTAGCTCTAGCTGGCTTCAAACGTGTCTTAAAGCAACGGATAAGCTGCCCTTCCTGAACTCATATCTCAGGCAGCAACGCAGAGCAATTTCCACGTCCTGGTTCTTCCTCCATAGTGCACATTATGTTATTCTCTAAGTGCCGAAAAAGATGCAGCAGCTGGAAACTTTAGTATCCCCTCCGAACTTCCCCTCCCCAGCATTCAGACCCCTCCATCTCCATCTCCATCTCCATCATCGTCAGCGGCGTCATACAGAGAAACTAAAATTAGAGAGCTCTTAAAGAAAGAAAAACTTTTGGCCCAGTAATGGCTTCATAACACGCAACATTACAGGGCAACATAAGTGCGGGGGCAGCTGTAGCCCCCTGCTAATATGCAACTATATATTATGGGACACTATCTGCCCCTCTCTCCCCCTTGGCGTCCCCATTCCCATTCTCATCTTCGTCC